GCCATCACCCTTCCATTAGACAGAGGACCACAAAGGGCTAGAGAGTTAATATTCTTTTGCCCTTGGGGGCTCCTAGCTCCTCCCTTATAGGGAGAACAGAGCCAGCCCTCCCGAGGTATGTCACAGCAGGTGAGCTGGCTGCGTTCCAGTACAATTTCATATACAAACATGGAAATTGTGTATCATATTCTTTTCACACTATACAATTCTCTACTGCTGACGTTTTTCGTCCACTTAAAAATGTAAGTCCACCTGACCTCATTAGTCTAACAAAAGCAGGCAGCAAAGACGGGCCCTCAGACCAAGTGTGCTGACCACTGGATGGAAGGAAGCAGGGGGTTTGTGCAAGCAACCCTGGCCAGGGTGTGGTCCTACCCCAGAGCTCTCAGAAGACAGGAGTCCTGGCCGCTATCACCACCCTACCCCATCACCTTAGGGGAAAAAGCAGAGCTGGCGCTTTATGAGACTCGGCTCCTGATCCTGGGTCACCCCTTCACCAAGGCCTTGGAGAACAAGACTACTTCTGAGTCCCAGGAGCTTCGTGGTCTGCTGACAAAATGGGTGATGTGAGGCAATGGAGGCGTGGAGAAAGGGGGTGTGGCTGGCCTCGGCTGTGCAACCCGGTGACACTCTTTGTTGTCTTCTGACCTCAGCTAACCTCCGCCCTCCAGCCTCTGCAGAACTTTGGTCAAGTGGTGGTGGAGGAATTCCAGTGAGTCTTCAGTTCGGAGGGCGGGTCCTGCAGCTGGAGGAGAGGGTCTCTCTGCATCTCTCCAGCCCCCTGAAGTCTGTCATGGCCCTCCCAGGCAGGAACCACTGACTGCCAAAGTGCAAGCTGCCTTCTTTGGGGCTGCGCCAGCCCAGGCCATCATTCAAGACTGCATGCACCAAGCCCTGAGCTTCCTGCAGGAAACTGAGGGTCTCCAGTTGGAGATGCTCCTCCCAGCCCTTGGTCAGTGCCTCTCCCTCTCTTCATGTCTCCTCCCTCTGCTGTCTCCGGCCTTGCTGTTTCTGGCACCTGGCCTTCCCTCCGGCACACAGCATTGCATAGCTGTTTGCTCTTAGCCTTCCTGTGAGCCCCCAGGGTACACTGGCTCCAAGTGTCCTGGGAACAACCACCAGGCCTAGCAGTCCCTGAGGGCTTGGAGGATGGAAAACCCACTCAGCCTTTCCCTTCTGTCCCAGGCATCCCCAGCTCCAGAGCCTCCAGAGGCCCCAGCCATGGGTTCACGCCAAACCTCCAGCTCATCACTTCTCTTCTTATCCTGGTGAGTCTGGCCGGGAAAGGGCTTCTTCCTAAGAAACAGGCTGAGCCTTTCAGACCTTAGCCCAAACAAAAGGTCAGCAGCCTGCTACCCACCTGAACCTGAGTTCTCTTCACATGCCAGCTAGAATGGCGTGCTTTCCACCTGGGGCTTGGGTTTGACCCCATGACTGCACCTCCACGGTTCAGACCGGAGGACCGAAGCCCCACCACAGCGGTGGCTGCACCACACCAGGTGTGGAGGCCCTTCTTCTGCCAAGCAAGCAGAGGCTAAACACCCTGGTTGGCTTGGGGAGGTGGTGTGGAGGAGATACCTCTGCGTGATCTGCCTAACCTTCTCCTGAGTTACTGCCACGGTGCTGGGAGTCCAGTCCACGTAACAGGGATCTATCCCGCCTTGGGCAGAAGCCAAGAAGTGGTTGGGCTGACTCCTCCCAGAAGTCACTGGAGCTCTGGGCATGGGCTAGGGCGACAGAAGCAGAGCTCTGGCCACAGGGGGAGAACTGGGGCAGAGTGGAGACGTGCAGAGGGGTCTTAACTCCCACCACATAAGGATGCTGTCAATGACCACTCCAGGCCTTGACAAGTCCCCAGATGATGCCAACTCAATTCCTGCCTGCCCTCCACCTTGACCCAAGGCCAGGCAGATGGGGGAGGGCAACACCAGCCAACAGTTACATGAGTGAGTTTTCTCACCATGTAGCCCAGGCTGGCCTTTAACTCACTGCTGAGCCCAAGCTGGCCTCAAATTTGCAGTGGTCCTCCTGCCTAAGCTTCCAGGATTAGTGCTACCATGCTCCAGCTTCTTTGTTTCCAGACATTATTTTTGCCTCCTGGCTTTTGTCTCTTTTCTATACCCACAGGTGGCCCTTGGTGCCGCTCCCCACTTCACTGAGAAGCAAATCCCATACCTCTCCTAGGTCACCTCCCCTCACTTCTCCTCATCCGGGGCTTCCAGATAGTGCCTCAACCCTGAAGAGTAAAGCTGCAGGACACCAGAGCAGAAAAGGCAAGCCTGGGACTTTCTTTCTTCAAGCTCCTGCCTCACCTCCACACTGCATAAAACTGAGGAAAACACTCACTCTCGTGTCCATGGTTGCAAAGCCAGTCCGTTTGGGGCTCCACATTCCCTTACCTCCCACCACCTCACCAAGAGGTGGGCAATGACTTCCTTCACAGAAGGCCAAGCCCATAGGTCCCCCGCAGCATGGACAGGCAAGTCGGGACAAAAGGAGTCGGGTCCCACAGAATGTTGTCAGGCCCTGCTGCCACCACACACTACCCATGAAATAGGGACCACATTTAGGCAGGTGAGAGACCAAGGGCCAGTGTGTATACACAGAGCATGCAGGGCTAGAGGCAGAGTGAGTGTCCGTGATGCTCATGTACATTGAAGCCCTATGGTGGTTATCACAACTTTGCCTAAGGATTTGTGTCCAGGCTACACAAGGAGCTCCACCCGCCTGCCATCCTCAGCACAGCACAGACCCCCTGGCCAGCCAGAAAGGACTCTATAGCCCTTCCTGCTCAATAAGCAAGGGGTACCCCGACAAGGCTGCACTGTCAGTGTCTGGAGGTGGCAGCCAGGGAGGAAGCCCAGAAAGCATGCAAGACAACATCCGGCAAAAACCCAGTGCTTACTGGCTGGCTGCCCCCAGGAGTGTACCTCAGCTGAAACGGCAGGTGGGGCTAGAAGCACCCCTCCATTTCCAGCAGGGGGAACCAAAGAGGCACTCAGGCCATGCTCCCAGCTGCTTTGGGGGGCTGACAGTGATCCAGCCCAACCCCTCTTAGCAAACCAGGGAAGGTGTATGCAAGCTAGCAAAGACAAAGTCTTCGCTGCTACCCTATCTTCCTATTTCCCCTGAGACCACAACTTGGGAGAAAATTGTTCCTCCACTCACCTTGCAGACCCTGCTTGTCATCCAAACCGGCTGCTAGGGCCCTCAGCCTCTTGTGGGCTTTAACTTCCCCATGCTGGAGCCTCAAGGATCTGAGCCCACTCCTGGCATTCACCTAGTCAGCTGATATAAGTGTGGGTCCTAGCCACACCCCAGGCAGATTTGCTCAGGCAGGTCTGGGATAGGCCTTGGGGACCTGAGCAGGATGCAGAGGGTCCCGCAGGCACACAAGTCCAGAGCTGCCTCTGGGTCTTCACACAGCCACTGACTTCGTGTGACCCTGCTGCAAATCCCGTCCGTGGGTTTCTCCATCTGTAGCTTGAAGGAACATGGTGATGGTGTACCCTTCAGCCCCTGCTTCCTGAGTCAGCTTAGAAATCTGATTAAACCTCACATCTACCTTCCTAGCACTGGAGGATGAGGCAGGATAGTTAACCATTTGAGGCCAGCCTAGGCTGCATACACACAGGGCCAGCAGCTAGTGATGTACGCACAGGCTTAAAGGGCACTGGGGATGGACTCAAAATCAGGAGCCTGTGAAACTAGTTCCAGGTAATGGACCTGTAAGATGTTGATGCAGAGGACAGAACTCACCTCTCTGGCCCTGGGTAGAAATACGGTATCCTGAAGGGCCAGTCATCTAACAAGGGAACGAGGGTAGACTGACACCTCTGTCCTGGTGGTTCCTGCTGTGGCCCTGTGTCATAGTTCCTATTCCCGCCAACTCCGAAGGCCAGCTGCTGGATCTAGATGTAGTTTCAACATGACCCCCCCAGGATTCACATGCTGAAATTTAATCCCCATTGTAAGGTGGGAGGATGGGAATCTAATCCAGCTATTGTGCTTAGAGGTGGTGTTTGAGGTGATTAAGATCTAATACTGGCAGCTCTACAGACCGCCCAGAAGACACACATGCATGTGTTCTCTTGCCATGTACCCTGATCCACCTCAGGATTCTGCCAACAAGAATGTCATCATCAGATGTGGCTGTTCAACTGTGGACCTCTTTCTTTCTTTCTTTTTTTGTTTTTTTGAGACAGGGTTTCTCTGTGCAGCTTTGCACCTTTTCTGGAACTCACTCTGTAGCCCAGGTTGGCTTCGAACTCACAGAGATCCGCTGCCTCTGCCTCCTGAGTGCTGGGATTAAAGGTGTGCGCCACCACCGCCTGGCTCAACCGTGGACCTCTTGAACTGTCACTCAAAGCTGAGTGTGGTCACAACACACATAGGCCCAGAACTAGGAAGCGGGGGCAGAAAGACTGCTGTGATTTTTAGACCCAAACAATCATCGGAACTTTTGCCTGTGGTGCTGGTGAGAGAAAAGGCATTCGGGCACAACAGGCAGAGGGAAATGGCAGCTGCCACTTCAAACCCCAGGAGCTCGAGGCCAGGCTGGTCCAGGGGCTAGCATGGCTGGGCGCGGGCGGGCAATGGTGAGCACTGGTGGAGGAAAGCCATGTGCAGGGAAACAGACGGGGTGAGGGAACTGAGGGTGGGCCTAGGAACACTGTCAGTGGGTAAAGCTGATAGGACGCACAGGGAGAGGTGACAGTTCCAGACTCTAGTGGGCACATCTTCAGTCCTAGGAGACAGGCACACAGATTACAAGACCATCAGTCTCCAAGATTCTCCACGGTTGTGGGAAGGAGGTCTTTCCCAGGTTGGAGTGGCTAGCCAGTAGGTGTGAGAGAAGGGCTTAGAGGACCAGGAGTGATCCAGAGGGGAGTACTAGAAGCCTTTAGAACTTTCTGGGCAGGAGGAAGGGGGACAGCCCATTGGTGAAGGGTGATATGCAACATTAACTCACAACCCCTCAAATACAAGCTAGGTCCCAGTTCTAAAAACAACCCAATGCTTTAATAGCTGGCCCCCAGGGCCCAGTCTCAACAAAACCCTTAAATAAGGCAGGAGGCACAGCTTGGCAGCCACCAGCTGAGCTCAGCCCACTGCAGGGAGGTAGCCCCAAGAGCCTTGGGAAATACCAGAGTCCCCAGTCCAGATCTTCAAAGGCCTCCTAGAATTGGGCTGACACAGCCTGCCGGGTCTCTGTAGCTGCTTGGTACAACTTCACGGGGGTATGTGATACAGCCCAGGTAGGTCATCGATAGGAATCCAGAGCAGACTCAGGGTCTTCAGGCCAGCCCCAGGCCAGCTCCCTGCACCAGCAGTGGACTCAGAGGAAGTGTGTATGAGCCATATACATCGTACAATACACCACCCTAAGGTAACCAGGTCCCCGAACACATGAAGACAACAAGGTTCTACTTGACAAGAAGGCCTGTCCCGGGCAAGAAGCAGAGCAAATCATCATAGGTGTACATCAGACATCATCCCCACTCCAACCCTTGTGAGGTAGGCTGCGTTGTCTTATTCTACAAATGGTCAACAGGGGCTCATGAGAGGTGAAGTGTTTGCCCAGGACACGCAACAAGGAACACCAGGGTTCAAGGCCAGGTCGGGTTGGCTCCAACGCCCACAGCTTTTCTCATGGGAAGGAATCCCTTCTAACAAAGACCCCCATGTTCAAAGTTCAGAAGTCTCTGCCCAGTTAGGGGGGCCCGGCCCTGTTATCCACTCTCAGCCCTGGGCAGTTGGATGTCAGGACAGGTACACAGTGGTCCCCAGATGGTTGACTGCCCCAACAACACTAGCTACCGATGCTACAGATGATGGCTCTGGCTGCCCAGGAGCTGGGGCTGAGGCGAAGGTCGGTCTGGTCCTGAGGCCTTGTGGCCCCAAGTAGGCAGTGCCACCCCATTGAGCCAGGCGGTTTCCAACAGGCTGCGGAAGCGTGCCCTCATGGTGGGACCTGGTGGACTGGTGCTGGTGCCAGAGCTAGGTGAGGGGTCCCGTGACCCTTCCCCAGTGGTCGTCTCTGTTTTCTCAGGGCCAGCTGGTGGCTTCCTCCCTGGCTTCTTGACCTTGGGGGCTGGTGACTTACGAGCCAGGGAGTGGTGTTCTGGTTCATCTCTGGTCACTGTGGGTTCTGAAGGGGATAAAGTTCTGGCCTCAGTGTCAAAGCCACCTATAAAAGGAAAGCATAGTCAGACTGCAAAATCCAAACCTCAAGGTCCCACTTCCTGGTCTCAAAGTCACCTAAAACAAAGTGGGTACATCTTCAGTCCTAGGAGACAGGCACACAGATTACAAGGCCACCAGTCTCCAAGATTCTCCACGGTTGTGGGAAGGAGGTCTTTCCCAGGTTGGAGTGGCTAGCCAGTAGGTGTGAGAGAAGGGCTTAGAGGACCAGGAGTGATCCAGAGCAGAGTACTAGAAGCCTTTAGAACTTTCTGGACAGGAGGAAGGGGGACAGCCCATTGGTGAAGGGTGATATGCAACATTAACTCACAACCCCTCAAACACAAGCTAGGTCCCAGTTCTGAAAACTGCAGATGGCACCCACAGTGTCACAACCATCACAGGCAACCCTTCTTCACACGTGCCCATTGCCCAGACCAGCGGGAGCTTGCTGGAAAGCCATGCTCCTTCCTGAGGGACACCAGAGCTCCACCTGACGAGGACGCAGCTCACAAGTGGCTGCTTGGGCACAAAGATGAGGAAAAAAAGGAAGGTTATAGGTCAGGAAACACTGGCTGGGCATCTCACCGGCTAGCTGCATGAACTGAAGCATGAGAAGAGAAAGCTAGGCTGGCCAAGAGCCGTCTTTCGGCCACCAAATCCCAAGGGCTGCTGTGAAAACAGTTCGGGTGGAGGCAGGCTCCTCAGGCTGCCAGCAGGGCACATGTGTCTGGACAGGAGCAAACCTGACATGCAGCCCTCACAGGTCATTAGACAAACCCCCCAGGGGTCAGGAGAACCACTGCTCTGGCTAGGGGTACCCAAAGCTCAGGGAGGGAATATGGAACAAGGGTCTTCGAACCTAACCAGTGACAGGCAGCTGAGCCTTAACTAGATCAGAGTTCTACTAAGCAGGAAGACCAGGAAAGGGACCTGGTCCTTGGCCCCAGACAAGCTAAGAATCAGGAATGTGGGCCAGTTAGGGGTCCTGTTCCATGGCAGTACTTTGCCTCAGGCCTTCTCCACCCTGACCTGAGCTGTCCTGGGTCAGGGAGGCCCATGGCAGAGTACCCAGCTAGCTAAGGAAGTAGAATATCAGGAAAATAGCTGGGTAAAGGGCTGGGTGGCCATGAGATATGTGACAGCAGGCAGGAGAAACTTCAGAATCTAGAAATCAGTTTACTGACACAGAAAAGGCCATGCCAGCCTCACCTTGTCATGGCCTAAGAAATCGGAGTGTCCCCAACACACAACATTGCAGCACATGTGTCTTCTAGGACATTATTGATAATAATAAAAAAAAAAAAAAGCAAGGTCCAGGGCTGAGCTGAGCAATGTGGCACATACATGATCTGGTACTAGGGAGACAGGAGCATCATGAGTTTGAGGATACCCTGGGTTATACAGTGAGATACTTTCAAAATGAGAGTGCAACTGAAGAACCAGGATGATGCATCACTGGAGGAAAGAGAACCGTAATTCTCCAGTTCAGGGTGACATGGGTACATACAAGTGCCAGCAGACCAGAGGAAATGTACATTCAAAGGTATGTGCTTATGTGAGGCATGGGGCCCTGCCAGATCCTGTGCATGGAGGTGAACAGGGATGCTTTACCAGGATCGGAGAGATTGCATGTGGAAGTAAGCTAGAGCAAAGCTCAGGCCTGTGGACTGGGATGAGTAGAGAGTAGCAGGCCCCGGTGCCAAGGGACAGAACGCAGTGCGTCATTCAGGGCTAGTGTTCAGATAGAAGACATGGGAAGAGAAAACTTCAGGTGGGAAACATGGCCTGGCCCAAGTCCCAGAGGCCTACACAAGACACAGAAGGTACAGACCAGACAGAGAAGGAGCCATCCAGAAGGGGGCCAAGAACATTTCCATGCAAATAGATCTCACTGACACCCAGATGTCAAGAGGCAAAGCAAGCTGTAGAGCCCCTGGAATCCCACCCCTTGCACCAGCGTAAGTTTCTGGAATCATTCCGACCCTTGCCCACCGTCCATACAAGCAGTACACACACCTGTCACTCGTTCACACAGCTCCAGTGGCTACAGGGTTGCCCCATGCTCACCCAGCTGGCGGCGTACACAGTCATGCCACTGCAGGCCCAGCAGGTCAGGGTAGATATCAGGCAGCTGGCGCAAGGCCAGTAGCTTCAGCATGCGTGAGGTGCAGCCATGTAGGGCCCTTTCACGCAGCGCACGCTCCTCTGACAGAGTGGTGGGCCGTAGCTCCACACGGTGCTCCTGCAGCACGTGGTCCACAGAGGCGGGTGGCAGCTTAGGAAAGAGACGCTCCTTCACCAGATGGATGGGCACGAAGATGGCACCAGCTCGTACTACGTGAGGGAAGGGGCACTGCTGTGTGCACAGAAACCTCTGCAGCTGGGACAGCAGCTTGCCCAGGAGCCCCTGCACACCCTGGCCGTCCTGCCATGCAGCCTGGCCCCATGGCCCAGTGGTCTCAAGCCACTCCCGAAGTTTCTCTGGTGGAGAATGAGCCACAGAGCCTGAGATGGCGTCACAGAGGGATGCGTGCAGCCCTGTAAAGTGCTGTTCTAGGGAGTCTGCTGAGGTCGCGGTGGAAACTTGAGCAGTGGCTGGAGCAGGGCCTGAGGCTGGAGCAGAGGCTGGAGCAGGGGCCGGAGCTGGTGATGGAACAGGAGCAGAGGCTGGGGCCGGGGAGGCCACGGCTATGGCCGGCGGGCTCGGCAGGGCTAGGTTGAAGCACGCCACCGGCAAAGGCTGAGTGAGAATCTGCAGTCCCACGGGCATGGATGGGGGGTTGGGCGCAGGGGCAGGGGCAGGGGCAGGGGCAGGGGCAGGGACAGGGACAGGGGCAGGAGGAGGAGCAGGAGCCAGGGTAGGTGGGGATGGGACGAGAGCTGCAGGTAAGGGTGCAGGTCGGAGTATCTTGAATTTTCGGAACATGAAGGCCACGGAACTGTGGAAGTTGGTCCTTGGTGTGGCTTCTGTGGCCACTTCAGATATTTCTGTGACCATCTTTTTCAGGCCCGGCAAGCCCGACACTGTGTTTTCTATACCTGGCCCATTCACAGCTTCAGTGGACTTATCATGTACCTCAGGACTAGGGACCTTGACAGGGACAGCCTCTGCCATAGACTTCTTCACACTCAAGTCCAGAGCCACTTCCTCACGAAGAGAGCAGTGAGGCCCAGAAGTCCCATCCTGGACAGGCAGGGCCCCCTTGCGATCTTTGTCTTGGCTCTTACTGGCACAGTCCTGCTCAGCCGTGGGCTCCGGTGTCTGCACGTCCAGGTAGTCACGGTAGGGGGCCAGACTAAAAACATTGTCAATCACAGGCATGGGTGGAGAGCTGGGAGGCTTGGCATCTTTCTGTGGAAGAGACTGGCGCTCCTTGGCACAGGGGAGCAGTGCTGGTGAAGTACGGGGAACTGGACTGTCTCGAATGACAATGGGTACCCCAGGACGCTCACTGGGCCTGGGGTGGAGCTGCTCTTTCCTGCAGCTGGGTAGCCAGGTCTTCTCTTGAGCTTCCGGGGCTGGTTTCTCTGCAGGTCTCACAGGCTCAGAGCATGGCTGGCTGGCTGGCAAAGGCTGGCATGCTCGCTGGAAGGCACTGGGCTGTGGCACGGGTTGCACACTGTTCTGAGCATGGGAAGGTGGTGTTCCCCCAAGCCCTGGGGATGCCCCATAGAGAGAGAGGTCATCCCTGGCATAAGGAAATCCCAAAGTTTGGGGGACAAAGTCCAGTGGGCACCTTGGAGCAAGAGGGGGCTCCAGCTTGAGTCCTGGTGAGGGTGCTGGGAGGGGTGCAGGAGAGTAGGAATAAGTGTCTATCCCAACAGGGGGCAGATAAGGGGCCTGGGATGCCTGCTGCCTCAGGTAGGGGCTGCCCAGCCCACCAGCCTGGTATGCAGCCCCCTTGTGCGCTCCCAGAGGTGGCAGTGGGAGCAGAGAGCCATAGTTCCCCTGCTTCTCTGGGTGACGGCAAGATGGAGGGCAAGGCAAGGCCTGTGGAGGTGGGGGCAGCGGGTAGTGGGCCGGCACTGCATCCTGGCAAGGTGGTCCGAGGGGCTGGGCAAGCTGGGTCCAAGGACTGGAGGGCCCCTCAGATACTGCTTGCTTGGGTTCCCCAGAATAAGGACCCGTGTACTTGGAAGGCAGGAAGCCTGTGCTGTGGATGGTTCGATACTTCTCCAGGATTGCCTGGCATGGGGAAAAAGTCAGGGAGGGGTCTTTGCCAGGTCCCCCAGTTGGTAGCCCACGTAAGAACGTCCCATCCAGGGGCTGGCCCTTGCCAGGAGCTGGGGCCAGAGAACAGGGTGGTTCAGCAGAGGGTAACAGGGGCCCGGTCACCAGGGTCCAGTCAACATCCAACGGTCTCTTTGCTCCCCCATCCCCTAGGCAAGCGGAGAGTCCGTAACACAAAGGGCTGCGGTAGACAGGCTTGGGCGCTGCCAGTGGTGGGCCTGGGTAGGCATGAGCCTGGGGACCAAAGGGCAGGAGCTCACTGGAGTCTTTTATCTTTTCAGAACCTTCTGTGGGAGGGCGGTAGAGCAGGCAGTTTGTCAACAGGCTGTCAGTCCGGAGGGGAGATCCTGCCACTTCAGTGGGGTACAAGGGTGGGTACGGGGTCCAGGATGCCAACCGCTCAGACCCTGCCTTGGAAGCACCCCCTATGGGGTAGGAGAAATATGCACCCTTGTAATTGCAGGAGTCCTGGTTGGCAGCAGAAAGGGGCAGGCCATGTCCAGGCCCTGGGTCTGGCTCCAGGCGGGGCAGCTTGCCATACATCACAGGCCCCAGAGGCCCCAGGGGCCGTTTCTCTGCCATTACGACGGAGGTGTCAAGCCCTCCTGGACCCCTGCCACTTGACTTGCTGACCTGGGAGAGAGAGAGAAACATGGTTAGAGCATAGGCTACATGTAAACAACAGAGACCCCTCTCTGACTTGTTGTCCCCCAAGACCCTGGCCCTTAGCAATCAATACTCAACTCGGACTGAACGGAGACGCCACAATGCAGAGGCTTCTGACTCTATGTTTTGTTTCTGGTTATAGTTTTGAAAGTAGAGAACTCCGCTGAACAAATATGTGTACTGTGGCCTTACATACAAGTCTACACTCCATTGTAAGGGTCATTCTGTCCATGCGACGGCCAAGAACCCTCCCTTGGGGTTCTGGACAGTGTTGGGAAGTCATCTGCCTTGGCTTGCTGCTCTGCCTCCCAGGTAAGACCTATCTATCCCAAAGTCTCTGACGAGAGGGATGGCACAGGAAGTGGGCTGGTTCTTATTCCAAGATGCCACAGAGGTCTCGTAACACTCCTACAGCAAAGACATGGAATAACTGCACTGCATACAAATTCTGGTTTCTTCTAACACTTTTATTGATCTGCTTGTCTTACCAAAAACCCAAACCTCAAAACCAGGTCCCCAGAACCAGAACCAATGCTGACAACTAATCTTGGATGGATAGGGCCGTCCCTTCCAAGAGGTAGCCTGGTAACTCAGCAGGAGGGTCAAAGCTGACCAGCAGGTGGTGCTGTGGAGCCAACAAGATGGTCCTGGGCTCAGGGGAGGAGTGTCTGTGTTCATCTCCAGGCCTTGTGCACATGATCTAGGAGAGCGGGGATGCATGCCTGGGGAGATGGGAGGCCCCAAGGGCCCGGAGTCCTAGCTGGCAACTACTTCCTCCATACTTTACTGATGGACAGATTAAGTGCTGGAAAAAGAATGCACGGGTATTCTTCCTTTGGAACCTTTCAAACTCTTCTTACTTGCTCACTTTTCCTTAATAAATCTGGGTTCTGCAGCACAGAGGCAAGTCCAAAGAAGGATGAGGATCAATGTCCACAGTGATCACAGGCACTTTCTTAACAAAACAGGCATCCATGACTTACGGACCACGACTGATGGGCGGCTCCATCTGAGGCTTGTCTGCTAGGGCTATCACTGGCCCTCCTCTCCCTCCCCTCGATGGCTTAGAAGAAGGTAAATGGGATCAACAGTCCTATGAGTAGGCCACAGGTCAAGCACCAGAAGCTTCTGTCACAAGCAAGCAGGGACCAGCTTTCTCCTCTCTGGACAGTGGCCAAGGATTGGGGCTCAGAGTCAGACCAGCACGGGAGGAAAAAAGGTAAAGGGTAGTATGGCCTGGGCCCATTCCCAGCCAGCAGACAGCAACACAGAAGCCTTCAAGACAAGGACATGTGTCCTAAGGGAAAGCCCCATCCTCCACTGCTGTATGTTTTTATGGCTGATTTTGCTTTGTTTTGTTTTCTTTTTTCTTTTCTAAGTCTCACTGTTTATCTCTAGCTGGCCTGGAACTCACCATGCAGACCAAACTGTCCTTGACCAGAGATCCACCCACCTCTGCTTCCTGGTGCTGAGATTAAAGATGTGCACCACCACAAGGCTCGGCTGGATGCTTCAGAGGGCACCTAGACCACTCCATCCTTGGGGAGCTCTGGGTTAATTAAGGGCTGGCTCTGGTCTCACCTCCACGAATGCTCCTTGGGACCTGCTCTAACCACCGGTCTCAAGAGCCCTTCTCTCCCGGGCTCAGCCCAACCCGTGCCCTTTGCCCTAGAGACTTCCTGAGAACCAGCCACCTGGGACCCTCGGGAGTCTTTGTAGGAGGGAGGGTTCCAGAGAATCAGCCCAAGGCTCTGAAAGGTGTGGAGGCAACATTATGTCCTGACAGTAGGAAGGATGGAAAGCTCCCCCAGAGGAGGCCCCACCCCCACTCAGACAGCAGCCAAAATGAAGGTGCCTTGTTTCCGGACACTGAGGTGGCCTTGGACGCTTGGAGAAGGTAGGTCCACGGGTGATCCTTCTGTGGAGATGTCAAGTTCTTCTAGTTCTTCTTACATGCGCTCTAACCGCAGCCAGAACCCAGGGCAGGGTCGAGCGCCCACCACACTCCCGTCTTTCCCCTCGGGGGAGACAAACAACTCCGTGGGTCCATTCCCATTTCCACGTCACATCCTTGGGGCCTCAGGAAGAGCGCGAACCCAGCCGAGTTGTTGAGGCCGGCATCAGTATTCTCCAGCTCTAAGAGACACCGGTCTTCTAAAACTCTTTGCCAGCTGAGGCTCTGAGCTCTCCAGACACCCAATATGGGGCAAGTCCACACTTTCCAGTTTAATAGAAAGGGTCTCCAGATGCGCGACCACTAAATTTCCCTCTACCGGCCCCGCCCATGACCATCGTGCCTGAGGCCCACAACCGGCTTCGCTATGGAACTGGCGCCCTACCGACACGCCAGGCTTCCGGGTGTCCCCCCAACCTCTCTCCTCTCTGCCGCTCTGCGACGCACGTGCACCCCAGCAGGCTGACACACAGCCTGCCACCACGCACGCCAAGCCGTTCCTGCACGTACGTGCACGGCCAGAATCTGCACAGATGCCCCCCACCGCCCTGGCTCAGGCACACGTGTGCAAGCCGGGAGGTTCGCGCTCGGAGCCCCCACGGATCGAAGCCCCGAAGACTGCAGTGAGGTCCAGGAGGTGGAGGGGAGGGGGCCCGTCCAGCCGCAGAGTCCGGGCAGCCACCTCCTTCGGGGCGATCCCGCCAGCCTGGGCTGCAGCCAGAGAGTGAGTCAAGCGGTGGCGAGGAAACCGCAGGCGGTCCTGTTCCAACAGGGCTCGTCCACGGCCCCGCGGCACCTCTGCGCCCGCCGCCACCAATCCCAAGCCCCACCCCCACCCCGAGTCTGCGCCCGGCAATCCGCGTGAGCCCGGCCCCGCGAGAGGCCCGAGGGATCCGCCTGACTCCTCGCCAGTCCTACGCCCGGGCACTGCTGGGGTTCCGGGGCTCTACCAGGCCCAGGGAGCATCCAAGTCCTGGCAAAGTCCAGGCGGCGGCACGACCGGGCCCCGCCGCCTGACCGCCCGAAGCCTCAGCACCTGGGCCCCGGCCCCTGCGCTCCGTCCCGGGGCCGGCCGGTAGGGGCGCCCTGGGGCAGGGCCACCCGCCCCTTGCCCACGCGCTGCCCGCAAACTCGGCCCAAGTTTCCGCGCCCGCCGGGCAGGCGAGCTCCTACCTTCAGAGCGCCAAGCTTCTGGCGGCTGCCACCCGGGGCCGCGGCCGCATCCTCCAGCGCCGCCTAGGCTGCGGGTCGCTGTCCGGCCGGCCTCGCGCGGGAAGTCGCGGCAGGCACCTAGCCCAGAGCCACGCTCTGCGCTGCCGTTCGCGCCGCCGCCGGGCGCCGTCTGTGGTCCCGGGCGGGGCGGGCCAGGGGCGGAGCGGGGGCGGGGCGGCCCGTTGGGTGGGGGCAGAACCCGGCTGTGCCTCTGGGAGCCTGCGCTCCCTTGGGCCCTCCCGTGCCGCCGAAGGCCTGAGTGGAAACGACTTTCCCGCGACCCGGCCTCTGGCTTTGTGCACCGCCTTCGCGCGCCGAGCTCCTCGAACGTCTGCCCCGAGGGCGGTCATAAGCCCTCATTCAGTCATTCCGTTAGATCATTCATTCCTTGCCACTTTCTAGCCATGTGACCTTAGACCTGCCGCTTAAACTCCAAGAGCTTCGGTTTCCTCGTGTGGTAAAAGTGGTGTTGTCTCATAGAAATGGCAGGGCTGGCTGACTTCGAAAAGATACATGGCACATAAATTGGGGTATGGTGATATACAACTGTAAAGCCTAGCAGTGGGAATTGCCCTGGGTTTGAGCTGAGGCTGGGATAGCTAGCAATACTCTTTGTTGTTTTGTTTTTGTTTGGGACAGGGTTTCTGTGGTGATATATTGTGTACCCTAATAAACTTGCCTGAGGATCAGAGGACAGAGCCAGCCACTAGATTAGACATAGAGATCAGGCAGTGATGGCACACACCCTTAATTCTATCACTCGGGAGGCAGAGATCTGCCACACTGAAAACAGACCCAGGCAGTGGTGGAACACACCTTTAATCCCAGGAAGTGATGTCTGGGCAGAGAAAGGTAGGTATATAAGGCATGAGAAAACAGGAACTCTCTCTCTTCAGACTGAGGATTTCGTAGAGGTAAGAACTAGTGGCTGGCTGCTCTGCTTCTCTGATCTTTCAGCTTTCACCCTGATAGCTGGCTCTGGGTTTTTTATTAAAAGACCATCTAAGATTCGAACAACAGATTTTACTATATAGCTGTGTCTGTCTGGGAACTGCACTCTGTAGATCGGGCTGACCTCGAACTCACAGAGGTACACCTGCCTCTCCCTCCCCAGTGCTGAGATTAAAGGCATGGGCCACCACACTTGGCTCCTAACAAAACTCTTAACAATTAAAAAATTGAAAAGATGTCACAAGGGAGGCCTGGCATCCTTGACCAGTACTAGTTACATTTGGAAGTCGGAAGGAGGACTCCTAGGGGCAAAGTACAGACAAATGTATCTCAGCTCCTGTTAGGGTTCCATGGCTAAGGAAATGATTTTTTTTTTTTTTACTGCGAGTGGACCAGGAATGAGGCTCTGGAGGTGTTGCCAAGTGGCCTTGGTGGGTATCTGAACCATTTTGCAAATGCCTCTTACCAGAACCGGCCAGAGCATGAGGCAGAGCATGAACAGCCTGGAAGGCAAATGGGGTGAAGCATCCCTAGCCAGAAAGGATGTGTTGCAGAAAGGGGCTGGGAGACCAACTGTCTCTGTTCACCCAGTCTTTAGCCACCCGACTGTGGAACCTGCTCAGCACTCCTCCTTTTTTTGGAAGGAATCTGATGCCTATAGTTCGAAGACTGCCCAAAGGCCAAGGCAGGGTCAGGCAGTGAGGGAGGAGAACGGGTGAACACCATACAGATCAAAATGAGTTTATGGGCCAGCACCCCTCAGGACACCACCTTGAACCACACAGGTCAGGACTGCCTGAGTCAGAGCAAAGCAGGGCTGAGGGTACAGGTGTGGGAGCAGCTGGCGCTGAGGAGGAGGGGCCAGGCTCCAGGGAGGACAAGGAGGAGGAAGTGAGGTCACCCAAGGAGAGCGGGAGGGTGTCTCTTGGATTAGAGTTGGAAGATTTTTTGCAAATAGAGACTGCCTAGGAAGGGGAGACTCTGAGGGGTTTGGGGCTTTCCCAGTCACACTGCAGGCTGAAACAACGACCCAAACTGCCTGGTTTTTGTATCTTACCGTCACACTCTAACACCAGGAAGGTGCATCTGTGCCCCGACAGCTCTGGGTCATGCCAAATCTGAGAGCCCTCTCTCAAGCGGTTCTAACTCTGCCCTTCCTTCTCTACTGCATAGGGTATACTCCCACTCCTGAGCTGCTGTGAGTTGGGAGGAAGGAAGACAATGTCCTTGGCTCTGTGGTCTAGAACTCTCAGGTTGTGGGCCCGGGTAAGACCCCCATCAGGCCAGGATGAGCCTGTAAGGCCCTGGGGCCCGGCTAAGTCTTCAGTCCCGTTATTTTGTCGTAATTCAGAAACATCTCTCAAAGACAGTTGTCCCACTAGTCAGCTCGTCTGGTCCTTTTTGACATCACTCAAACACTCTGGATTACCAGAGAAAGGACACGGGGTGGGGGACTTGAGAGCCGCTTGCAATCCCCTGGGCCTTAACTTGCTCAGCACAAAACAGAGCCCGGTAGCCTCCTGCCTCATAGACTACGGTGTCAGCATCCAGCCACATCCGGTGAGGAACTGCTCGTAAGCTGCAGGAAACTCCGGCGGAGTGCTGGGCAGCTATGGACTCCTCTCCCTCTCTGCCCCAAGGGTCACGTGCAGAGCCTATAGCAGATATAGAGGTAGTCCTTTCAAGGTGACTCGAGAGGCTCCCTGGGCCTTTGTTAACATTGCAGCCTTGGGGAGATAGTGATGTTTTGTCTGGAAGGTGAAGTCACCGAGTCAGAGCCGTGAAGAGAAGAGTTTAACATTTGGGCACAGGGGGAGAGGGGGGCTTAGAAAAGCAGGAGCCTGGCGCATGTAATCTGAACATTCAGAAGGCTAAGACGGGGCATCTACTGAGTACAAGGCAGGTTTGTTATAAAGTGAGTTCCAAGCCAGCCTGGGCCACACGATGTGAGCATCTGTCCACAAAGCAAAATTAAATACAACACAAAGTAGAACAGAAAGGTTCAAAGAGGGTTCTATCCCCCCACCCCACCCCAACCCTACACAGGCTTGAAGCGGGTACATGCCCTCCACCTCCCCTCCCTCATGGACACAGATTACTCCATAGAAAGGCAAGGTTAACGGTCAGCTTCCTGAACTGCAGCTTGTCATGTTATGGTTATTAATAAAAATGTCCCTTCCACTAATGACGTCATACCTGCTATTTACAAATCTCTTTCCTTCCTCAGAGGAGCTATCTCAGCCCAGAGAAGAGGCAGTGATGTTAGCCATCCTACAGGCAGAAAACCAGAGAAACCTAAAACACACAGAAAGTGCCTCCTCCTCTGAGGAGGCCACCCAGACTGTTAGCACCGCCTTCTCATCCTCATCCTTCCCTGCCAGCGGAGGAAGACCGCAGTGTGGGGAGGGGCAAAGCACTCCTACGTGGAGCTGGTTCTGTGCCAGACACTTAACAGTGTCTCATGGAAGTCTTAGAACCAGATGAAGAGTTTGAGAAGCAAAGCAAACTCACCAGGTATGGTAGTACATAGTGACAGATGGCTGTAATCCCAGCACTTGGGAGGCTATAAGACAGCAGGATCAAAGGTTCATGGAAGACCCCAACTCAAAAAAAAAAAAAAAAAAAAAAAAAAAACAAGTGAACCAAGTTTGACCTTTTGAGCTGTGTGACTTAAGCAACCTTAACTTCAGTTGGCACATCAGCCCAATGGGCAGAATTATGACATGTCACAGGGCTCTGATGACTTCACAGCTTAGTTCATAGTAAGCCCTGAACCACTTGCTCTGGCCATGGTGGGGACTAGGGGATGGTTCTTCATAGCCAATAAATGGAGGAGTGGGATCTTCCCTCTTGGAATTACAATATGACTCAGGAGGGTTCGAGGCTCAGATGCATCTGGTGGCCATGGATCCTCTGCCTGTCAAGCAAACACAGCCTGAGCTCAGAGCACCTTAGGGAGTCTAATCGTGAACAGCATGGGACGTTTGGGGCCATAGGTCTCAATTGAGTGAGGTAAGCTGTTTTCCAAAGGCATGCTGGCAAACCAAGACTTCCTTCTGCAGGAAGCTGGGAGGCAATTTCTTATCAGTCTCAGAGTCTCCTGTGGCCCCTACTCTAGATCTACCTGCCCCCTCCATTGTCCCTCTGTAGCCTACCTGCCACAGCAGACCCCAGGAGCCAAACAAAATTCATTGCAATCCTCTGTGCCTTGACTTCCGGTCAGTCTTGTATTGATTCCTTCTAGCCCCATCCAGGATGCCTTCCCGGATCTCCAGGCTGGCATGAGTTATCTTTCCTGGAAGCTGTTTAGATTCCAGACTACTTCCATCCTAGTCTCAGCTCCCCGTGCTCAAATGGCTTGGTTTCCGGCTCCCCTATGAGACTGAGGAAAGAGGGACTTCCTCCAGGTTGAGGCTGTCTGAGCACTGGAATGGAGTGCCTAGCACAGGACTAGTTTGGACCATGGCTGTGGAGTCACAGTTTAATACAGAAGCACTCTGCATATCTTCAGGCAAAGAAAGCCAGAAAAACAAACAACAAACAAACAGGCCTGTTCATCCCTAGTAGGAAGATCACTATAAATTCAAAGCTAGCTGGGTACATAGTAAGTTCCAGGGTAGCCTGGGCTACAGAGTGAGATCCTGTCTTGGGGTTAGCAAGAAAACCCCACCTGGCCACACTTTTCTAAAATCTTCGTTCCCTCTAAGATACTAAGTTTAAGCCTCTAAGATGCTAACCAAGCTTCAAGCCAACAGTAGCCTGCCTCCTGCCCTTATTGCAATTTAGAGCAACTGACACCTAAAGATCCCAGTTCTGTGCCCAGGACATCAGGCAGGAGTGTTTACAACCCAGACCTCCTGAAGGCTGGTTATCTACACAGCAGGGTTTCCATCTTCCTCACTAGACCCAAGATGGAAAACCATGTGACTGAGTGCCACCTGCCTCACGTGCCCTGCAGTCCCCTCCAGGAGGCCACCAGCTGGGAGCTGGAGTGGTAT